GAAAAAAAAACAAATGTCAACGCAAGGAAGGCATGCAAATGTGATCACAGAGTCAGGGCTGAGAATCAATCCCACGGCCTTGTGTGTTTAACTATGTAGGTGAGATTTTGAATGTAGAGAAACACACATCAGTTATATGCTGCTCAGTTACCCATCTTCATCTGATGAACAGAAGATGTTATAAGGGACATTCATCTAGGACCTGCCACATCTGTGAGCTCCAGGGAACCTTGTCGAGGAGACATCAGTCACATCTGACTCTGTAAATCGGTCAACATGCAGCGGATATATAAGCAAGGGTACAAATCCCAAGTTGCTCTTGTCTCCTCCCCTCGATTTATACCTTTTATGTTGCAAAGTGCAGGAACTTTCAAAACATCTCCTGCTGAGTGTTCTCCAAGTTAGCATGGGTTTAGACCAAAAATACCAGCAATGATAGTACTAAAATAACACGACACAAGCTTGCGGTTGACTGGTGATCTTTACCACTTAGTTAAATCAGCTGCAGAGCAACATTTAATTAAAATTAGCAAGTCGTGTTAGAACTGTGAGTGCAAACTCACAACATTAATCCAGAGAAGAAATATGTGAGTCATTTACCACCCACTGAAAGCATGAAAAGTCAAGGTCTGGAGGACTGAGGCATTAATTAGATCTCAAGCTACATCACGTCATAGTTAAAGACAACTGAGGAACAGTTTAACCTAAACCCTTTAGCAGCTGGCGTGATGCGTAAGAACATCGCTCATCAGATAATGTTGATATTTCTCTATTCTGGTATCCACCTGTCACAAGCGCCTCCACTGATTACCAAATTGTGTATAGTGTTAATCAGTAAAATGGTTTCACTCTGCTTACTCTTCATAACCTTCAATGGATGTCCAGATAGAACAAAGAGTCACATACAGAAAAAAGAAACATGCAAAGTATTTTTTATATAAATGTTATATAATTTCTAAATGGAAAGGTCTGGATACCAGTGGCAGTTCTAGCTTGTACGGCACCCCTATTGGCACTGTCATTTTTATTAAGACATTAGGAACGATACAAATAAATAATGATACATTTTAAAAGTATATACATATAAAAATGTACACTAAAACAAGATTCATAAATATCAAAAATAAGTAACAAAGACAAATAGAAACAAGTTCTACTCCTGTATAAATAAAAAAGATTATTGATTTATTACACCATTACCCTGTTTGTTAACAAACATACAAGTGTTATACTAACCTATTTCATTACAAGACAGGACTGCATGATATTCAAAAAGAAAATCACATCGCATTGAAATATATGCAACCTATTTCATA